GGCTACACTGCTGGGCCGGAGGTGGAGATGGTGGGGGGGGGGCATGGATAGCAAGGTTTGTTCATTCCCCATAGGCATCCATTAACTATGACTAAGCTCCTGGCGGGGAAAAAACCTATCATAGGAAGAGTACAGTCTGACAGGACCTAATTGTCTGAAGGAAGGTAACCATGATATCGGGATGGTACGGACTGCAGGTTGAAAGTTTTTAATTATTGTTAAGTAGAGCAGTCCTTCTCGAGCTTTTTCCCCCAGAGGAAGCTTGGCATTATTTTCAGGTTTTCGGAACCATTGCTAAAACCAATTCATTGGGAGCAATGGAAATAAAAGAAACCTTACATCTGTGCTTAGTAGGTAGAATGCCACTCTTATAGTGGTGGTCAGAATGCCACCATTACTGACAGCTAAAAAGATAAATTGGTGTCATTGCAGCTGGCTCTGCCAAGTTGTTTTGGACCTGAAACTATTAAAGCACCATCAGATGAGAGGTCAAATGGCCACAACGCAAGGAACCCCTAGAAACCTTTGAAGGAATCCTAGGGTTCCATGGGAATCCTGGTTGGGAATGTCTGATGTAGAGTGAACAGTAGAAATTTGCAGTTCATTTCGTTCTGAATCGAAATTCAGATAAAAATTTTCATCATTTGGAGATTAGAATGTATCCTAATTTCAAAATTACAATAGCAACAAATTTAAATGAACCCAAAATAAGGGAAACAAAATTTCGTCCAAAATAATGAATTCTCTGAATTCTATTAGAATTTGAAATTGAAAATCAATTTGAAATGTAAACATATTGCTGGTTTCTTTCCTTGTCAACTTGGTCATCTTATTCAATTCTGTTCTTTTTGATATTTGAATTTTGGAAAACAGAATTGAATAGAATAGAAAATTAGCAAATAAAAGAATAGAAATAGAAAAAAAGAAAAGAAAATATAGAATATAGGTATCTTCCGAAATTCAGATTTCGAAATTCGAATTTCAAATAGAATAGAATATAACAGAACATAGCCGTCTTCCGAAATTTGAATTTTGAAATTTGAATTCATATAAAATGGGATAAAAAAAGAATATAGTCATCTTCCAAAATTTGAATTTCAAAATTCAAATAGAATGGAATAAAATAGAATATAGCCGTCAAACAAAATTTAAATTTTAAATAGAATAGAAAAAAATAGAATGAAATAGAATAAAAAAATACAAGAATAGAATAAAAATAGAATATATCTTCCGAAATTCGAATTTCTCAATATTGTTGATTTGAATTAGATTTGAATACTTTGAATCATGGAAAAAGTTGAAATCCGGTTAAAAAGGAATATAAACAAAAATGAAACAAATTTAGTTATGAGTGCAACAAAACAAAACTAGTAACTTCACGAATCATTCCGAAACAAAACACTTTTTTTGTTCTGCACATGTGCAGGGCCCTCCTAACCCTCTTGTATTGAACTGTATTGTTGCTGTATTGTCTCCCTTTATATTGTAAAGTGCTGAGCAAACTGTTGGCGCTATATAAATCCTGTATAATAATAATGTCTATTGAACTCTGTCAGGCCCCTAGTTATACATGCACATGTATCTGCACACACATGCCAGTGTTGTCACTTGTCTGTGTCTCTCTACTGCCCCCAGGTGGTCGGTGCTGTTCTTTCTCTCCAGATGGAAAAGCTCTAGCCGTAGGTCTAAATGACGGAAGTTTTTTAATAGTCAACGCGGACACGCTGGAGGATTTGGTGTCATTTCACCACAGGAAGGATGTGATTTCTGACATTCGTTTCTCCCCCGGTGAGGAGGGAAAATTGGGCAGGCACAGACTGAGCTATTTCCATGGCGTATCTTGGGTCTGAACCTGCTGGAAATAAATTTTTTTTTGTTTTCTTCAGGTTCTGGTAAATACCTGGCTGTCGCCTCCTACGACAACTTTGTGGATGTTTACAATGTGATGAGCAGTAAACGTATTGGAGTTTGTAAAGGGTCCACTAGCTACATCACCCACCTGGACTGGGACAACCCGAGGTCAGTAATGGCTCTATGTGGTTAAGTTCTGAAAGAGTCTCTAATCAGAAGTTGCAAGATATATAGTTTGGTCATAGGTGATATATTTGTTATATAGATTATATTGTTTGAATTGTACAGTATATGTGATATAGTTTGGATATGTAGATGATGTATAGTTGGATTATAGTTCGATTATATAGATGATATATAGTAGCTGGGTGATATAGGTTATGGGATTGAGTTATAGGTGATATATTTAGGGGTATATAGATTACATAGTTGATTGAGAATATTTTGGCCATGGATTATGTAGATGATAGAGTTGGGTCATGAATAATATAGATGGCCACGGATAATACAGTTTAGCTAAATAGGGAATACATTTTGATTATGTAAGTGATACAGGTGGGTTATATTGATGATACAGGATGACTATGCAGTATGAATACTAGTGTTGGGTCACAGATGGCACAGTTTCATTATATAGATGATAAAGATGGGTTATATCGATGATGTAGTTGGATTATGTGTAATATTAGAATGGGTTCACAGATTGTACAGTTGGATTATATAGATGATACAGATGGGTTATATCGATGATATAGTTGGATTATGTGAATAATAGAATGAGGTCACAGATGGTACAGTTGGATTATATAGATGATACAAATGGGTTATATCGATGATGTTGTTGGATTATGTAAATAATAGATGGGTTCACAGATGGTACATTTGGATTATATAGATGATACAGATGGGTTATATCGATGATATAGTTGGATTATGTGAATAATAGAATGAGGTCACAGATGGTACAGTTTGGATTATATAGATGATATAGATGGGTTTTATCGATGATATAGTTGGATTATGGTAATAACAGATGGGGTCACAGATTGTACAGTTGGATTATAATAAATTATAGAGTTGGATCACAGATTATATATATGCTGGGCTATATAGAATACAGAGCAAGGTAACAGTTGATACAGTTGGGTTACATATAATGATGGGGGTGGATTAGATGAATGATATAGTTGGGATCGTAGGTGATATATTCGGTATATCGATGATATAATTAGATTATATAGTTGATATAATTGGAGAAGGAGTTGGGTTATTATACTGTAGGATGATAGAGCTGGAATATTAAGGTGGTGGATTTGAGTTATATGGATTATAGAGTTTGGTCATTGGTCATAGATGAGGGTCAGTTGAGCTATAAAGATGAAAAGAGTTAGGTCAGAGATGTAACAGTCTGGCTATTTAGATGATACAGGTTGATTAAATGAATGATAGTGTTGGTCACATATGGTACTGTTGGGTTATCTAGATCAGTGGTCTCAAAACTGCAGCCCCGGGGGCTGGATGTGGCCCTTTGCTTGCTTTTGTCTGGCCCTTGGGGCATTACTCCCCCACTATTAGCAACAGTGAGGCATAGTTCCTGCCACCGACAATGACAATGAGGCACTGTTCTTCCCACTGGCACCAATGATGGGGCACTATTCCTCCCATTGTCACCAATGATGGGGCACTATTGCTCCCACTGTCACCAACGATGGGGCACTATTGCTCCCACTGTCACCAACGATGGGCACTATTGCTCCCACTGTCACCAATGATGGGACACTATTGCTCCCACTGTCACCAATGATAGGACATTATTGCTCCCACTCTCACCAATGTTGGGGCACTATTCCTCTTACTGTCACTAATGATGGGGCACTATTCTCCCACTGCCAACAATGATGGGGCACATCCCCCCCGCTGACACCAATGATGGGGCAATATTCCTCCTACTGACACCAGTGATTGGGAACTATTCCTCCCATTGATACCAATGATGGGGCACTGTTACTCCCACTAATACCAATGTTGGGGCATTGTTTACTTTCAATGACACAGGACATTCTCTTCTCCCACTGGCCACAGTCAGCCCTTCCTACAGTTTGAAGGACAGTAAACTGATCCTTGATTTAGAAAGCTGGGGACCGCTGATCTAGATGATATACACTATAGTGCCAAAAGTATTCAGACATCTGCCTTTACACTCACATGAACTTTAATGCAATCCCAGTCTTAGTCTATAGGGTTCAATACGACGAGAAGGCCTGGCTCGCAGTGTCCACTCGAATTGATCCCAAAGGTGGTTCTCTCAGGTTGAGGTTAGGACTCTGTGCAGGACAGTCAAGTTCCACCACCCCATACTCGCTCATCCATGTCTTTATGGACCTTGGTTTGCGCACAGGTACGCAGTCATGTTGGAACAGGGAGGCGCTCATCCCCAAACTCTTCCCACAAAGTCGGGAGAATGAAATCATCCAAAATGTCTTGGTATGCTGATGCCTTAAGAGTTCCCTTCACTGGAACTAGGGGGCCAAGCCCAACCCCTGAAAAACAACCCCACACACCATAATCCCCCGCCTCCACAAACTTTTACACTTGGCACAATGCAGTCAGGCAAGTACTGTTCCCCTGGCAACCCGCCAAACCCCCCAGACATGTCCATTGGATTGCCAGACAGAGAAGCATGATTGGTCACTCCAGAGAGAGAAAATGTCACCAGCACACCGAGGATCACCAACATGGGTCCAAAAGTTTTTAATGAACGATCACATAGTTACAGCAAGGCAACGTTTTGGAGTCTCGCAGGACCCCTTCATCAGGCATGTGACATTTGGTCACATGCCTGATGAAGGGGTCCAGCAAGACTCCGAAACATTTCCTTGCTGTAACTGTGTGTGATCGTTCATTAAAACTTTTGGACCCATATTGGTGATCCTCGGTGTGCTGGTGACATTCTTCCTTGCTGATTCTGGTCGCTGCAGCACCCACTTGTACACACAGCCATTTTTAATGCAGGAACATGTGTGCGTTTGGATTGTACACTTGCATTCTGGTCACTTCAGAGAACACGTCTCCTTTGCTCTAGAGTCCAGTGGTGGCATGCTTTACACTACTGCATCCAACGCTTTGCATTGCACTTGGTGATGTAAGGCTCGGATGCAGCTGCTCGGACCTGGAAACCCATTCCATGAAAGCTCTCTACGCACTGTTGTTGGGCTCATCTGAAGGCCACACCAAGTTTGGAGGTCTTCAGCTATTGAGTCTGCAGACAGTTGGTGACTTCTGCGTACTGTGCACTTCAGCATGCGCTGACCCCGCTCTGTCATTTTATATAGCCTACCACTTGGTGTGGCTGAGTTGCTGTTGTTCCCAGTTGCTTCCACTTTGTTATTCCACGGTCAACTGTTAGTATATTGAGTAGCAGGAAATGTCATGGGTGGACATATTGCACAGGTGGCAACCTATCACGGTACCACACTTGGAGTCACTGAGCTCCTCAGAATGACCCATTCTTTCACAAATGTTTGTAGAAGCAGTCTGCATGTCTAGGGGCTTGATTTTATACACCTGTGGCCATGGAGGTGATTGGAACACCTGAATCCAATGATTTGGAGGCGTGTCCCTATACTTTTGGCAATATAGTAGTATAGTTGGGTTATTTAGATGATAGAGTTGGTTTAAATATTAAAATGATAAAATGGGGTCACCGATGGTACAGTTGGGTTCTTTAGACAATGCAGTTATGGGTTATTATAGATGATAGAGTTCAATTATATGGATAGAATGGATAGAGTTGGGTCACAGATAGTACAGTTGGGCTATATAGGTGTTGTAATTTGTTGGTACAATTTGGCTTTAGATGATACAGTTGGATTATAGGGATAGTTGGGTCAAAGATAGTACAGTTGGGATATATTAGGTGTTGTAACTGTTTGTGTACCATTTGTCTTTAGATGATAACAGGTGGATTTATATGGATAGTTGTAAAGCTGTCTCGCAGGGGGATAGTTACATTGTACAGCGACAATGTTGGAGGGTCTTCTATTTAGAGGTGTTGGAGATGTTTGCTGGTATTGCAGCTGATTTAAAATTAAGAAAGGTTTAATATGCTTGCTACACAACGGATTACAGGAGGTGCACTTTCATCCATCAAAACATTATATTCAATTTATTTAAACCTCTCCTGCCCACGTGTGACAGTGTAATCCAATTATTACACCCAGTAGTCCCAGCAACCAACTGTAATGCCCCTGCTGGTCACTGCCAGTGTGTTACAATTGGCATTCAAGTGTGCTTTCTGCTCTGTCCTCAGGGAAGCTGATACAGGTGAACAAAACAGGTGCCAAGGAACAGCTGTTTTTTGAAGCCCCTCGAGAAAAGACAAATGATTCCAGCCCACGAGGTAGGAAAACAAAGTTGAAGTTTTTGTAGAAAGTTTTGAAAAACGTTTTCTCCCCATGTATGCTTGAGGTGATTGTAGCTGTAATTAGTGCGACAGAAATAATGGAGTCCTGTTCGTGATACTTTTTTTTTTATTTTGCACCTAACATAAAATTTTCAGGACAAGCTTTCTTGGTCTGTCCCCTTCTTCAGGGTTGTTCAAGCAGTACTACCTTCCCAAAGTTTTAGCAGTATGTTTAAGAGAAACAATCTCTGAGGGGGGAAAAAAAAAAAAAAAGAAAAACAGAAAAAAAAACACACACAAACAGACGTACATAGCAATGGTTATAAAACTGGGATTAGACTAGAGATAAGACAGAAGCAAAAACAAAGACAAATAGAAATATCATTCTTTGTTCAAATGTTTTCCTTTCCTTGGTAGCTTTGAAATTAAATTTGAACCACTTCCCGTCTGCCCTATAGCAAAGTATCTGCTACAGGGCGGCCTGGGTGCGACGAAAATCATGCTTTTGTTTGTGACTGTGGTGTGCAGCAATCTCTTTGATTTACCTGCTCCCTTAACCCCCAATTCACCCTCTGGGGGATTTGATAAATTTGCTGTGCATAGTTGCAAACCCAACGCTGATTCGCAACTTACACAAGGGGATGACCCTTCACTGCCCTCGGGGTAATAGTGCTCATGGAAGGCCAGCTGAGACTGAATGGTGAAGCAAGAAATCGTCCCATGAATGGATTCTCAGGGATCACTTAAATAAATGAGGGAATTTTCAGGCAGGCAGGTGAAGACTGTATTTATTTCTTACCACCCATGCACTATAAGAAAAGCTGTTTACTGCAGCTCTGATAGGGCAAAGTGGCGTACTAAGTTGCTTTAACGACCTGCCAAATCAGACTGGTATTTTTGGGCCACGTACTGCATGTTCCTCTTTCCTTCTTAGCAGCCCTTATTGTGTTTTAGGTATTTAAAATTAAATGAGTTCCAGGTGTTCTTCAAGAAAACCTTTTTTCCCCCTTTTATTTTCACCTGATAATCCTTCCAGTATTACATTTCCTGTCGTTCATGGTGGACAGCACTCATTGACTGTATCTATGGAGATAGGGGGGGGGAGAAATAGAGGTGTCACACTAGGACAAGGAAACCAAACCTCACCATAATATGGGAATGTGGGAGGTCACTTGACCAAATGTCATGAGATCCTAGAGCATGGAGTAGCTTCTGTAAGAGAGCAGTGATGATGAGTGATTGAGGGGGGCGTTATCCGATTATAGATTCCCTTTAAAACATTTAGAGTGTGTCACACACCTTGTGCATACTGACTTTACTGTTCCTCAGGTAGGAGAAGGTTTCCCTGGACTTCCTGGACAAGTGTCTTGGGTGCGAGCTCGTATGTGAGGGCATCTGGCCAGTGATTGGAGATGTCAGCGGACGTAACTGCTGCCTCGCTTACCAATGATGGCAAAGTCTTGGCAACTGGTGATGATTTTTGGAATATGTGAAGTCTCTTTCGATACCCTGTCAAAGGTAAGAAGGAAATCCTATAGAAGTTTTTTATAGAATATACAACATGGAAACATACGAAATCTGAATAACTGGATAACCCTATGATTTATGGGAATATCAAAATGCAACTCCCCCCCTTTGGTATAATCCTTCTCAAAAGTTATTATATATTGGAATTGAATTTGCCTTATATGCATCTAGGAGAGGGTAATAAAATCGCAGGCATTTCAGTTAGATTCTGAGAAAGCACATGACTTCCCAAATCTACATGGGAAGGGCTCCAGTAGGACCATAGGTTCACAATCTCATGGGAGGGGGTTTAGAGGATCCCAAGGGTCGGCTCCCCGGGAATGGGCTCCATAAAGGGTCCCAAAACTCATGGAAAATGGGGTCCAGAAGGATCCAAGCTTCCCGATCCCAAAGGGAAAGGGCTCCTAAGAATTTGTGTCAAAGGGCCTACTTTTCCCCGAGGTTTTTTACTCCGTGTGGCGTCCTCTTGGATTCTTTTC